TTCTTAATTTGTGGACTTTAACTGCTGTTTGGCGCTTTCACTTTCATTCAGGAACATTTCATGAATGCCCCCATGACAAAAAGATATTGGATCTGAGGAACTGCTGGAAGAGTATAGTTTTAATGGACGTAAGGGGAAAATGCAGGGGAAATAGACAGTGATTGCGTTTACATGGACATCAGTAATTAAATAATTTGCCTTAATCTGAATAAGCCTTGATTAAGGTGTTTACATTAGTTGATTTTTGAATGTTCCTTTCATGATCCCGTTTTACATGTTATAACACATAACTGATTAACATCATTGCGTCATCACACTATCCACATTTCCTCTGGTGTTTCATGTCTTTTTAGGTGTTTCATTCTAAATTTGTGGACTTTAACTGCTGTTTGGCGCTTTCACTTTCATTCAGGAACATTTCATGAATGCCCCCATGACAAAAAGATATTGGATATGAGGAACTGCTGGAAGAGTATAGTTTTAATGGAATCCGATGCCGCACGCTGGATGGGAGAAATAAAAGCCCTCTGCATTTCTCGATAGATGCACAGACTTGGTAAGTGCAGAGAATAGTGTCACACAGTCGTGTGTGTATAGACTATCCTGTCACAAAATGCGTCAAAAAACCTACACGACAGTAATAGTTTGATTAAGGTGTTAACATGTTTTTATTCGAAGAGCAGCATTTACAGCATATCTTTCAGTCTATAATTTTGTAGTGATATTATTGTACTTTAAATTTAGTACCTTAATCCTTTTGACTAAGGAATGTCTTTAAAAACTGAAAGAGTACTGCTGATGATACTAATTCATATATATTGATCACACTCTTACCAAAGCTGGAACCGTACCTTTTTTAAAAGAAGATGATTGGCAAATCCAGATTTTTACCATTTCCAGAATTGAAAAGCTCTTGGGTAAAAATTGTTCCTTATGAACGTATTTTTGTCACGTGTTAGCAGACCATTGTAATCCACACATGTGGGTCAACACGCAAGCTGTGCTCTCATCTTGTGGAAATGGAAACAAAACCTTTATTGCGGCACATTTATAAATGCAACACTGACAACCCATGTCTCCGAACAATTGTTCTTCTTCCACTTGTTTTGGCAACACAATGTGGTGTCTCTATGCCATCTGAAAACTGTAACAGGTAAAAACAGTCTTCAAAGCTATTTCATGCATAATAATGAAGTCTTTCTCATGAGTTAATGCTGAAAACACAAAGACACCACACTTTTCCAGTCGGTACAGACATCCAATCTCCACGCTGGAATTTACACAATGATCTCATGGCCATGACGCAGCTTCAAGATTTGTTTTGAAATCGTAAGAGGTTTGCTCGAAACAATGCAAAAACAACCTTCACTTTTTAGTGTCCAAATAGTGTTTTAACAACATGGGACATATTTATGATGGTCAACACTTCAAAAAAAAAGTGTTTTGGTGTTTTGTGACCCTTTAACATCCATTTCGATCAACTTTATTACATATTTAACATATTTATACAGACACCAAAGCAAAGTTTTGTTTTTTTCAAGGGTACTTCAACTACTTCTTTCTACACTCTTTTATATACACATGATTTGTAACAGTTCACCTTAAGTCTTTACCTGTAAATGACCAATTCAATAGTAAGAATGGAAAGGATGCTTTTCCCAGCTTTGAGAGACAGTATGGCAGTGAGAGGGGGTGGAAGGAGAGAGAAAACTAGAGAGAGTCCTCCACCTCCTCTCACACCTCCACAAAAGCACAGGACCGACACAAGGTGGGAGAGCAGGTCGCTATGGCAACTGACGAGTGGCCTCCAAGGAGAGTCACACACATCCCCCAGACTTCCTCAATTAGCTGCACACACACACATATGTTAGGGAGGGCTACAGTTCTTGCTCTGGATGGACATTTTAGTTGCTCATTAACACAGAGTGAAAGCTCTATATTTCTGAATTGTTTCTAGCATTCTTCCTCACATTTATTACAGCTTTTAATCTTCTTCATTCAGTGTATTTAACTGTATATGTTTGTCTCCTCATACAGTACATTAGAGGTCACTCACTTCTGCGTCCCCTATGGGAATAGTGACCACATAGCATTTCCACAGGCAGGTCATTGGCATGCTGGTGCATTGTTACCTCTGGCTGTGTGGTGGTTTAGTGAGCTGGATGATTTTTGCCATGTAAGCAGCAGAGCTCGAGGAGCACAGACTAATAGTCCTACCTGGGTTCAGCGCTATTCAGGGCATTCCCTCATCATTAAGATGCTTTTAGATGTTCCGAGTTATGAACGAGCAACCTCTGAGCAATAAAAATCAATGTGAGGTGGTGTATTTACTTTTGGTCATTCCCAGAGGAACGTTTTATTGCTCAGAGGTAGGTATTACATTACTTAGAAGGCTTAATGGAGATTGTTTTTATGTTTTAAGGTGGTTTCAACTTCGGTACAGATGTCTCTCCTAATGAATTACTCCTAAAAATATGGAGTACACATTATGGACATGATTCTACAGTATAATTAAAGCCCAGGATTAGTATTACCTGTGACTGCTAAAAATGTCTATAAACTAAATCCCATGCAAATCGGCCATGTCTGTTACAGAAATTGTAATGTAAAAATTGCCCTGCAAATGACCTACCACATTTTATCAAACACAATATTCTGTGATAAAATTGGTCCAGTGCGAATTGGGATCGTCAGTGATTTGGCCAGGGTTTGTTCAGTTTGTTTCTTGTGCCCCTTTTATTCATCTTTCTTAAAAAATTGAGGTTTTGGATTGTTTTGGTTGAATTGTGGGTGCAGGGTCATATAAGAATACACCATAGAGCTAGACAATTTGCAGAAAGTCAAAGCGGAAAATCATCAGAAGTGCAAAAACAAACAGACAAAAAATACTAGATATAGATGTGTAGCATACGGTTGAAATCAGAATTAATAACCACCTTTAAATCTTTTTTTTAAATATTTTCCAAATGATGTTTTACAGAGCAAGAAAAGTTTTACAATATGTCTGATAATATTTTTTTCTTCTGGAGAGTCTTATTTGTTTTATTTCAGCAGTTTTTTAATTTTTAAAAGAAAACATTTTAAGGTCAAAATGATTAGCCCCTTTAAGCTAATTCAGAACACCACTGATGCATAATTATTTATATGCTACAATAACGTATGTGTATTCATTTTTACATACTATGGTTATAACCAATATCAGTGTGTCATGACACCCTAATTGATGTGTTAGCATTTGTAAAAACTTTGCAGAACCAAAAAAAAGGGTGGTTCTGTAGTTCAGTCATGACAACTCTTGGACAGGTTTTGTATGGAAATTAATGTGTACAGCTGAAATCTGAATTATTGAACCCCCTTTCAATAATTATCTTTAATCGCATCTTTGATAGTTCACATTGTGTGATTAGATTTCAAGTGAAAGAGATAAATTCATGGCTAAAATCATGCAGTCTGAACTCGGCATTAAATCGCTTAACTCACATTCATGAATTCTCTAGTGTGGCATCAAGGGATAGCATAGCATCCATTGGATGTGCACTACAGAATCTCACCAGAAGGACTAAGTCATCCAGGTACTTCTCTCCTACTGTTTTTTTTAATACTATACTTGGCTCACAAGCTGTTTTTTAATCCATATAGTAGGGAAATATGCGATTTCAGATAAAACCCAAGGCATTTAAATGTTGAGAAGCAAGCTCATTGGCTGCTGAGCAACAGCAATCAATCACCTGTGCCATGTATTTGATGATGTATTAGAGTAGGTAAGATATGACTAGGCCCATGCGGAATCTGCACGCGCAGAAATCTGCAGATTTTTAGCCCATCATTTAGTCTATTTATTTGCTTGTGTTAATGTGTGTAAATGTATATTCATTCAGTTTTCAAATTAATTTCACTAATATTATTGTAATATAATATTAACAATTAATATTAAAATATTAATATATGATTAATTAACAATACAGTTTGTAAAGTAATATGTTCTGTCTTTTAGTAGTTCTATTACATGAGACTTGCTTTGTTAACCAAATAAGTGGACCTAATTGAATTTGTGTAGTAAACATTAAATAAAAGTTAAAAAGGTATTATTTTTATTACATATTAGATTTTTAGTTACAATACTACTAAAATCATTCCGCGTAAATCCGCAGAAATAGTACAAAATTTGTCCGCAGATTCTGTCTGGACCTAGATGTCACCTATAAGCCTACACATCCAATAGAGTTTCATGACAGAACTTTACGAGTGTGTGAATGTTTAAAGGTCCCATGAAGTGTTTTGAAATGTGCATTTTTATTCAATGTGTGACGTAATCTCAACTAAAACATAAATAGAGGGCGGGACATAGACACATAGAGTAGGATAGGATCAGTGTGAGTGGTTGAGCTCAAGCGCATCAAATGAAAGGGGCGAGACATGTCAGATACTATAGAGCAGGGGTCCCCAACCTCGGTCCTGCAGGGCCGGTGTCCCTGCAGGGTTTAGCTCCAACTTGCCTCAACACACCTGTCTGGGTAATTCAAGTATAAATACAGTAGTAAGATCTTGATTAGCTTGTTCAGGTGTGTTTGATTAGGGTTAGAGCTAAATCTGCAGGACACCAGCCCTCCAGGAACAAATTTGGTGACCCTTTTTAAATGCAAATTTTGACTATTTTGGAGCACACTTGATTAGATATGCGTAAAATAGTAATGCTATTCACCAGACCTTTAAAGTTGATGTCAAAACCTTACCTTTTTTGGTTGAGGTGCACAAAATAATCTCTGATGATTAGATATATATCTACTACCACAGCAAAACTCAGCTGACATGTAAACACATAGTTAAACACCCACAACATTTTCATAGTCTGGCACGTCCTGTCTCTCGTATGATCATACAGTAACTTAACAGACGCTTACACACACGCGCACACACTTGTCCTCCGCCTGGCAGCCCGAGGGTCCACCCCCTCTCTTCATTCAGCTGGTCACGTGACATGAGCACTGTGAGTAGAACAGCACCGTGTGAGCCGTCCATTCATTTCCTCCTGAGAAACACACGGCGGAGGAGGGAACACAGAAAGAGAGAGAGAGAGAGAGAGAGAGAGAGAGAGAGAGAGAGAGAGAGAGAGAGAGAGAGAGAGCGACACACGCACAAACACACGGAGAGAGAGAGAGAGAGAAGGGGGTCACATCAAAAAAGTGCGACATAGGAAAACAAGACAGAAATTAACAGGGAGACAGAGGAACGCTGTAAGGATAGTAGTCCTCGCTCACAATTACTGAGCTTAATAAACAAGGTCAGTACTGTTATTTTGTTTAAAGTTTGTCATTTTTAAGACAGTTAGTTTGTTGGACTGTTGACCTGTCAGCTGTCATGTAACTACCTGTTAGAAATAACACCGTAAATAAGAGTATAATGAGAAACAGATATAGTTTAATAAGTAGTGTTTCAATACATAATATGTTGTCATTAATATTTCTCAAATTCATTTGCTCTGCAGTTAGCATTTTATGGAAGGTGTATACATTTATTTATAATATTTATTACTGTATATGAAATCAATTATTATAGCGTATTATAACATGTTATAGAATTTGTTAACAGTTTTGCAATCTTGTATTTGTTTTTTACTGCATGTTTTTTTCTTACATCATACTGTAGAATGGCTGCACAGGCAGTTATAGCCTTAGAAACACTTTAGAATCTGCACATTTATGAATGTTATATCAATGCTAGATGATTTTGTTTATATTTTCTTTGTACTTATGAAAGACTTCAGAATTGCAGTCACTTCCTTTTTTTCTGTCTGCTTCACACTTCTGCATATAGTAGGAGCTACTTGCCTTTGACACAACAATATATGATAAATGCAGTACTGTAAAAGAACAGTACAGCTTTGTTGAGGATCAGTAAGGAACTAGAGCTGTTGCATCTGTTGGTGTGATTTGGCATGGATGATTTGGTCTCTGTCCGTCTGCCAGTGGTTTCCTTCTCAAGTATGTGAAATTAAATTGTTAGCCAAGTCAATCAGCCTTTGAAAGCTCTACATAAATAATTAGACATCGTTTAAGCAAACCACAGCAGTAATCGCGTTAAAAACAATTTAAGCATCTATAAATACACAGCATCCTCTGCACCGCAGAACAGAAACCGCACCTGAGAGTTCCTCTAGAGTGTCTGTCGCGTCTGCACCGGATAAGCTTTGTGTCGTGTTGCAGTTACAGTGAGGAAGTTCGGAGGTCACTGATTTGGTGTTTTTGGATGCATTTCTTCACCTAAGTTGTCAAATTAAATAAGCAAACTTTCCACAGTGGTGTCTGAGTGACCCAAGAGCCAGCTGGGGCTCTGGCAGGTTCACCCCTCAGGACGGCTGTTGTTGTAGATGGGCTTTATGAACACAAAGTGGGCGAAAGAGAAGGAGAGAGAGAGAGCTGCTGAAGGGTGGATGTGTGGGCTTTGTGCAAACAGAACCTGAATCAATAGATTGAGTGGGTGTGTGAATCAGGTGTAGAAATATATTTTGATGTAGGTCTTCATGGTAAGAAAGTTTCATATTTCACAGTCAGAAATTTTGTTACTCATTTGAGTCTTGATTGTGGCTGTCATGTGTGAGATCACACTCCGGCATCAAGTACAAATTATACAATTTTACATGCAACAAAGCGTTTTAAATATTTCTGTGATGGATTTGATGGTACAGGTTAGTTGCTTGCCTATTGTAAAACACATTAGAAGATAGACATTCTTAGATCAATACTGTACTTAAAAGACATCTAAGACACAGATCCTAAGACACTGGCTATTTAGATGTGTTTACTATTAGTATGACTAAATCTTCCATTGTAATTAGTGAAAATTCATGATCTTTATGATTCATGAGTTTTATTTAAAACATTACTTACTAATAACTGAGTTACTCAGTCAGTCACTTTCCTTCATCTTATTTTCTTCTTTCACCTAAGTGAAATGAACTGTCTACAAAAATATACATTTTAGTGAAATTAACAATTTCATGGTACTGAAAAAAGATTATTTGTAAAATTAAAGTTAAAGTAATTAAAGAACAATTTTAATTGAGTTTGAATAAAAATAAATAAATGTATTTTTAATCATAATCTATATTTATATTTTTCAATGCAGATTTGAAGTTTTTTTTTGTATTTATGAATTAATTATTTAAAATACACAAATAAATATACATAAAGTATACACCATTGCTAAATTGAACTAAACTGACCTTTGGTTGCTTTGTTTTCATTCTCCTGGCTTGTTGCAGGAGTGAGTGACGTATCTCTGTAAAACAATAGCATCCAGTTGAGCGTGTAGCTCCGCCTTTTGGTACCCTTTTGTTGTGCTAGGTACCAAATGGTACTCAAAAAGTGGTATGGTACAGTTTGCTTTTAGGTACATTTTGACAGTGGAAATGGCCATAAAATTGTATCGAACTGAACCATACCGTACTGTACCACTCAGTGGAAACAGGCCATTAAATTAAACAAACAAGCGACGTTTTTATGTTTGTTTGTGTTTTGAAAAAGCGTGTGTCACTGTTGTCACAGTTTTGCACCTTATTTATTCCTAAACAGTGCATATTATTACAGAAAATGTACATATTATTACCTAAATAGTACATGGTAGTCTCTTTAAAAAGGTATCACTCTTGTGACAGCTGATATTTGTTTTATAATGTATACTATACAGTAATATATTATAGCATGTCAGTGGAAGAACATTTACATTTCTAAGCTCCGTTAACAGCTCGGATATTTTGTCACACACACTTTTTTTTTACATTCACCAGCTGCCTTTACATAAATTACTCAAGCCAAGTAATGCACAGATTTTAAGCAAGATGTTCGAAGATACAAATGTCCAGCTGCATTGCTTCAAAGCAGATTTGCTCCTCACAGAGACAAATTTTCTGTTCTAAATGGAGTAGTCTGTGATTCCCATTCTACAACAAGACAGACATTGTTATATTTATATGCTTTTAGATAGGGGCAAAGTTAGTGATTTTGCGGCTCTAAACAATTCCAGCCAAGGGGTCCAAATTTCACAAGTCCTAAAATGCACCTTTTTTACGTTAATTTATTTATTTTTATTTTGCTTTTTACAACTACATCTACATTTTATCTTAATGTTTTTTATCACCTTGTAAAACTTTTGAAACTATTTGTTTTCTTAAGATGAATTCACAACTAAACATCATAAATAAAATATTTTGTTTTTAAAACTTAACCTTTACTCTTTGACTACTGGACTTGTCCATAATTGAAAGTGAAGGACACATTTGCACAGATTAATTAATTACATTAAAGTTTTAAAAAATTTAAACCCTCACCGTTCAAAATATGATAGAAAACATTCATTCTTTCATTCATTTACTTGTTGGCTTAGTCCCTTTATTAATCCGAGGTTGCCACAGCGGAATGAACCACCAACTTATCCAGCAAGTTTTTACGTAGCGGATGCCCTTCCAGCCGCAACCCATCTCTGTAAAACATCGACACACACATTCACACACACACACTCATACATTACGGACAATTTAGCCCAATTCACCTCTATCGCATATCTTTGGACTGTGGGGGAAACCGGAGCACGCGGAGGAAACCCACGCGAACGCAGGGAGAACATGCAAACCCCACACAGAAACACCAACTGAGCCAAGGCTCGACCCAGCGACCTTCTTGCTGTGAGGCAACAGCACTACCTACTGCGCCACTGCTTCGCCATGGTAAAAAACAATGTTATATATAATTTATAGTATCATGTATACTTCTAGGTATTTATTTGGGGGTCCTCAGACTTTCTGGGGCCCTAATCGGCCGCTTACCTTGCATATTGGTTAAATCTGTCTCTGCATTCAGATTATATTTTGATAGTCTAAATATTCTGTTGACTAAGTAACTTTACTACTATTTGTCAACTGACTCTCATTGGTATATCAGTAGAGCATTAGAAGACTCTTAGTTTAAGGTTAGGCTTGACAGTCAAAATAGAGGCTCAGAGTCACTAAATGTCTGCTGAAGAGCATCAAAATAAAGTGTGAGTAGTTGTTAAGCATATAGTCTACTACTTTAATGAGTGCTAGTTGACATATTGAAAAATCTACATGGAGGTGTTTATAGGACATGGCTTTTAAAAAAAAATAAGCATTTTGACCATTAATTTACAAGACATTCTATAAGTAATCTACAAGGTATTGAAAACAAAACCATTATGATCTTCTTGTAAACAATGATAGTAAAATAATAATAATGACAATAATAATAATAATATTTTTTTTGTAAAAACTGTGGTGTAATATCCATACATAGTGTGTTAATCTTGAGGTACTGTATGTGCTGCCAGAACAACAATGACAGACTTCTGTACTTTGTTAATTCTGCTCAAGATAATGACTGACATTGCCATTGTTTTGACAATGCTGTTGTCTGAGTCCAAATGAAAAACTTTCTGTGTTTGCAATATTTGCACATTCTATTCAATAAAACAAAATGAATCACAGACTGCATTCACACGAAACACAAAAGGATGTATCACCAATGTTAACTTCATAACTATTTATAAGGTGGCTCTGATATTAACATGATTTTTTTGCAGCAGCCTGACACTCATCCTGATCTTTTTTTTTCTTCCCCATTTGGATTTAACCTCATCCACTGTAATATTTAATAGTAAATTAAAATAACATTTGGGACTACACCAGAAACACAAACTATCCTTCATGACTACTACTTTAACAAATTATCAAGCTTCCCACTAAATCTGATTTTCTCTGCAGTTCTACACATAATCAATTTTCTCTGATGTTTTTGTAGCAACTGTGACATTTATCTGAACATTCTCTGTTCTCTGATATTAAAGATAACAAACATTTGACATCCACATATAATCTTCACTATGCTGTGCCACAATTGTTCGTGTCTCGTGTAAACATCCAGCCCAATCTCATGAGGAAATATTTTGCATATTGTCCGATAATTGGCTAATTCATACAAATCCATATGATTTAATTCTTAAAAAAGGTATTTAAAACATAGGCTTGCTCTCAAACCCCACCCCTAAACCCAGATGTCATTGGGGATGAGCATATCATACTAAAATGATACTCATCCTTAAAATGAGTTTATATAAATTAGCAGTGTTGTGTTAGTAACTGTAAAATAGTCCGTTAGTTACTTTATTCAAAAAGTAACTCAATTACTAAAAGTAATTTTTAAATTATTTTTATTTATTATTTCTTTTTTTTTGTTAATGTTTCCACGCGTTAGGTCTCTCGCGAGCACACTT